AATATAATGCGAATATTAAAATGTCTGCTACATTTCTCAAAACCATAAAAACTTCCTTTATCAACACCACCATCAATGCTACCACCTCCACCAACACCACCACTACCACCACCACCACTATCAACGTCACCACCATCAACACCCCTACCACGACCACTACCACCACTACCATCACCATCCCTACCACCACCGCCACACGTCACCATCACACCATCATTAACACCACCACTCCACCACCACAAGCCACCCACCGACACCTCCATTTACAATTACATTAGGGGAGGGGGGATAAGTTTGATTGTTCCTAAAATATTTTTAAAAGTTATATATGTTATTTCCCTTGAATCTGTCATCAAGAGAAGCAACTCCTGATGATTTTCTGTTACTTCCGGTCACAGCAAGGTCACCTAAAATCTACGGCAAACAGGCGTCAAAATGCCGTTTACAAATCAAGATTATTTGCCTAGTTATGAAGAGCTCACTGTGCCTGAGCTCGAAATTACTTCTGCTGTGTTTCGTTCCACGGCACATCACCTGGGAAAGTATTGTGACAACGTGAGCAAGGTGAGATGATGCTCTCGGCTCCACTCTTCTCTCACTCTCTGCTCTGACTCTGACTGTCCGTCTCTCACTGTTGACATTTTGACTGTTTTGTCTGCTGCCACTAACTCTAATATATCTAGATCTAGATCTAGATCTATATTAGATCTAGATCTAGTTGCCTATAGGGCTAGGCCTACAAGAGCCTAGTTAATCATTTTCACTTGGAATACTGTGATTGTTGGTCCTGGACGGGACTCCCGGTATGTGTAGATCTTGTCTTTAGGCTAGCCTCTAGACTCTAGATCTAAAAGAATCTAATCTAGATCTAGATCTAGTCTAGATATCTAGACTAGATCTAGAATCTAGTAGGTACCACAAACTGAAATTTCAAAGTCCTCTGATTTCATAGTTAACTGCACTACCTTTTATAGAATTTATCATTCTGAGAATTTGATACCAAATTTGTACATATAGATCTAGAGTACATCCTGTGGTGCGATATACAGTAAGCGATCTTTTGTGGATATCTCTGGAAGTTACAGGTCGATCTTCATGATTTTTTCACCAGAAGTTAGAAAAACTTCCTCTCTATACGGTGTAGCGCATTACTGTAACAGCAGTTTAAAATTTCTATATGTTGTGGTGGTGTTTGTTTGGTAACGTGTGTCTGGTTTGGTGCGCAAGGTTTCTGGTTTGGTGCAACATATCGTCTTGTTTGGTGCGCAATAGTACCATGTTTACAGCTCTAGATCTAGATCTAGCTCTTTTCTGACACTTTTCATCTTTCTCTATCCTTGCTTTGTCTTCTTTTCCTTGCAAGAAGTTCCTGTACTGACCATAATGGAAGGCCAAGGTCAATTAGGCGTGTTCTTTTTGGGAGCTGTGCGCCCCCTGACAGGAGATTTCCTTACACCTTGTGTATGTGTTTTGATAATGGATAAAAAGAAAGGTGCTGTGGACACAAGAAGGGGAAAGAAGAAAACAAGAATAAGACTATACCTAGACTAGTATTTTAGAAGGAAAAGGACAAAAAAGAAGAAGAAAAAGACGTGAAAAGAAGAAATTGAAAAAGAAAGGTGCTGTGGACACAAGGAAGTGAAAGAAGAAAACAAGAATTAGACTATACCTAGACTAGTATTCTTTAAGGAAAAGGGCAAAAAAGAAGAAGAAAAAGACATGAAAAGAAGAAATTGAACATTTTGGAGATTATATTTTCATATTAATTAATTTTGACATGAATACATTAACTTATCATCTTCCAATGGCAATATAATGCATCCAAATGGAAGGAAAACAGTCTGTTTCAGTGCACAATGCAGGTCATAGAGAAATAACTTAATAAGTAAAACAAACAAAGGGCCTAGAAGCCACACTATCAATGCCAAATAGCAAAAAAGCCGATATTGCGCACGAAACGGACTGCCCAAATTTTGTCCTCTTCAGTGCGCAACCCTATCTAACACGTTCCTGGGCATTAAGAAGCAGCCTGCGATAGTATTTATCGATTCTAGTATACATTCTACGATACATTAGAGCTAGATTAGCTAGATGTGCTAAATAATCGACTACTCAAGCGCTTAGTAAAATGATCGATACCGGTTACGAAAACCATTAATATGAAGGGGCAAAACTTTCCGACACCGTAGAATCACGTGTGTTGACAGGAACCTCCAAAACGAAAGTGAAATAAGCTGCATTCTGCGCATGCTCACAGAAAATGACCTCGTTTTCGCTGTTCTTATCCAAAACAAAGCAGGAGACCGGGGGTTGCGCACCAAAACAGTAGCGCGGTGATGCGGGCCTACTCTAGATCTAGATCTAGATGAAAGTGGCTATTCTCACCCGCCCGGAAGTTCTCGCAAGATCAACTCCTCCCCTCTTCTCTCTCTCTCTCTCTCTGTCTCTTTCTGAATACTGTCTATCGGTGTGGACGATCAAATTGACCAAAACAAAGTTAAAAAATGATGTTAAAACACAAAAGTAAATTAATTTGGTTGTCTACAAAGATGCTACGGCTATTTAACTTTTCGAATCGAGCCGAACTACGCGGGTCGCCATTTTGTTTTGCCCGGAAATTCTCGCGCTACTCCTCTCTCTCTTTCTCTCTCTCTCTCCACTGCCCACAGACAAAATTGTACGCTTTTAGTAGGCTACAGTTGTAATGGAACGTTTGTTCACGGCACAGAAGTCTACAATTTTTCTGTTATCACAGTGTAGAATTCTGTGGTTTAGGGTGAACGCAAAATTTGGTGAACGCGCACCGGGTGAGAATAGCCACAAGACTCGCCTGCACTATTCTCACTCCGGGTGAGAATAGAGGTGGCCTATCTAGATCTAGCTTCATTTTTAACAAAGTTATAATGAACATCTGAAGTTGCAGAAAAAGTTATAGTTACTAGAGATATATCTAGATCTAGATTCTAGATTCTAGATATCTAGTTACTTTATGTAGTTTTTTAATTGCGAAATGTCTACACTTTGAGATGTCACAACATTCTTAAATTTCAATGGACATTCACAAAATCTTGTAGACACACACCTATGCACATAGAGAACAAGCTCAATTTTTTTTCACGGCTATCAAATAACCAGAAGATGGAAATTTATTGAGGCCACCTCTATTCTCACCCCGGATGAGAATAGCGCAGGCGAGTCTTTTGGCTATTCTCACCCGTTGGGCGTTCACCGTTATAGCCTAGGCCAACCAGTGAAGCGTTCACCCTGAACTACAGAGTTCTACACTGTGAAAACAGAATTATAGAATTCTGTGCTGTGAACAAACGTTGTAGATCTATTACTACTGTTAGTGTTAAAAAGCGTTCAATTTTGTCTGTGGGCAGTGGAGAGAGAGAGAGAGGAGTAGCACGAGAACTTCCAGGCAAAACAAAATGGCGACTCGCGTAGTTCGGCTCGATTCAGAAAGTTAAATAGCCGTAGCATCTTTGTAGACAACCAAATTAATTTAGTTTTCTTGTTTTTTTAACATCATTTTTTAACTTTGTTTTGGTCAATTTGATCTTCCACACCGATAGACAGTATCCAGAAAGAACAGAGAGAGAGGGGAGGAGTAGATCTTGCGAGAACTTCCGGGCAAAACAATAAAAAATGGCAACCCGCGTAGTTCGGCTCGATTCGAAAAGTGAAATAGCCATAGCATCTTTGAAGACGATAAAATTTGCTTACTTTTGTGCTATAACGTAATTTTTTCTTGGCTTTTATCAATTTGATCATCCACACCGATAGACAGTATTCCAAAATGAGGAAAAACAGGTCTTGTTTCACACCGAGTGAGAATAGCCTACGCTGGCAAGTCTCACCCTGGGTGAGAGGTAGATCGTATTTTTCTATTCTCACACCGGGCGAGAATAGCCACTTCCATTTATTGACGTACGGTAAACATGGCTTTTTGACCAAAACGGCAAGAAATACAAGGGGAGGTTAAAATCACTTCTCGCGACCGCCGGCTTATCGGCTGCGCGCCGGGCCGCGCTGAAGGGAAGAAGAGAGAATTTATACGAAACCGGGGCGATGGTGCCCTGCTTGCGAGCCGTCGGGGAGCGTCCGGTGTTTATTTGCGTATATGGCTGTGTTATTCTTGAAGAGGAATGAATGGGCTTTCTGCCGATATATTTCCGTAGTCAGTCCGATTACTGGTTCCATTAAAAAAAACAGTACCGAAAGTTTTCACACTCAAATCTCTTCTATTAATTCTTTAAGGACAGTCTTTAGATTTATATATCACCGGAAAGAGCGTCTTCTCATCTTGAAATATCGACGAATCAGATTGCAGTATTTAATACCATACGCTCCCCGTTCCTGTTCAACCGAGGTGACTCTAAAAATCAATACACGAAACGCGCGGCCGCTGCGGTGAAAACCTCGATAATGTTGTCTTTTATCCCGCAAGATTTTGCTTTCAAAAGAATCGTTGATTCAAATAAATAATACCACTGAAAAGAGGAAACGCTCCTCTTTCTTCTGATATATCAAGTGTCTGTGTGTATGCATGTTCACACTGTGTTTTAGGAGGGTAAAAATATGGGCTTTGGTCTCTGTGACAGTGCGCCACGGGGTCGCACGGCCAGTTTGCAGTACCTACTCTAGGATTACTAGAATCTAGACTCTAGATATAGATTTTCTAGATCTAAGAACTTTTACTTTTGGTGATCAGGTACTTCTGTCTAAAGAGCATTGCTGTTGCTTAAAAATCATGTATGGTTCAGACAAAAACCTGTTTTCGGTGTTTCTTGTTGTAACATAGTAAAATCCTTCAGTCGTCAGTACTGTACATAGCCATAACTTTTTTTATTCACAGACTGATCTTTATCAAACAAAAAGTCATTTTGCTAGAGAAATTTGATCTTTAAACACAGTGGTGTTACTATGTATTGATTAGTAGTACAGATCTTATTAAAAAACTGTGGTGTTTCTAGCAAACAAACACTTTCCATTTTCTAACTGATGTTCCCTCCACCTCCCCCCACCACACCCCCTCTCCCAGGAGTTCATGCTGTGTCGGTCAGAGGAGGGCGACCCCCGCAAGTGCATCAACGAGGGCAAGGAGGTCACTCGGTGCGCTTTCGAATTCCTGGGTCTGGTGAAGAAATCGTGTCTTGCTGAGTTCAACCAGTACATGCAATGTATCGATCACTCTGGGGGTGAAATGGAGTTTAAGAAGTGAGTCTGTCTGTCTGTCTCTCTGCCTGCCTGTTTGTCTGTCTGCTTATCTGTCTGCCTTTCTCTCTGCCTGTCCGTCTGTTTACTTGTCTGTCTGCCTTCCTGTCAGTCGGTCTGCCTGCCTGTCTGTCTGTCTATCATTCCGTCTGTTTGTCTGAGAAACAACATTTTTCACATGGAGGTTTGATCGTGTCATTGGTTGGTCCTACTTCTTTTTTTTCCTCTGTTGTTTTTCTCTGTGTGGGTGGGTGGAGTGTGTCACTGGTAGGTTCTACTTTTTTTCTTTCCCTTTTGTTTCTTTCTAACGTTTGATTTTTCCCTGCATTATATATGTAGGTACCACAGACTGAAATTTCAAAGTCCTCTGATTTCATAGTTAACTGTACCACCTTATAGAATTTCAGATATATCAAGTGTCTGTGTATGCATGATCACACAGTGTTTTAGGAGGGTAAAAATATGGGCTTTGGTCTCCGTGACAGTGCGCCACGGGGGCACAAGGCAGGTTTGTGGTACCTACTATCTGTCTGTCTCTCTGTCTGGTGATAAATAGAAACAGCATTTTTTATCACATCATGGAGGTTGGATAATGTCGTTGGTAGATCCTACTTCTTTTTTTTTTTCCTTTCTGTTGTTTTTGTCTATCTGGGTGGTTGGAGGGTATAACTGGTAGGTTCTCCTTTTTTCCTTTCCCTCTTTTTTCTGTCTAACGTTTGATTTTTCCCGGCATTATATGTGACTATTGTTGTGTTGATGTGCTTATCTTTACTTAAGTAAAAGAACAAACAAACAAACTGTCTGCATGGATGATTGGCAGGTGCTCTGTTGTGTTTTGCTCTTTCTCTTTCCTCTATCACACATCTATTGTTCTTGTCTCTCCTCCTTCTTTTCTGTGCATGTTACTGCCTAGTAGCATCTGTAATCTTCGGCACTTATATGACCTACTTGTGTTGCAAATGTGTCGTAAAACCTTTACTGGGGGCTCTGTTGGCCTCTCACTCAAAAGGTCCCGGGTTCGAATCCGGGTAGCGACCGAAAAATTTTCTTCTCTAAATTTGTCTCCTTTCACCTCATTTCCTGCTCTCTAGCAATGTTCTGTCGTCTGCTTTCGTCTCCACTTTCTGCCCTCACCCCGTCACCTCCTTTGCCCCCTCCTCTGGGCTCCTGATTCTTTCTGCAGCCTTTCTACTGCTACTCCTTCGCTTCTTCTTACTGCAGTCTTTCAGCCACACCCCTGATCTTCTGGTAGGAAAGATCTACACCTAGCCTTCTCGGACAAGGGCGAAAAATCTCGGAGGGCCCGTGTGCAAGTTGCGCACGTTAAAGATCCCTTGGTGGTCTAAAATCGATAAGAGTAGGCTTCGGCCGCCACCCGGGCAAAATTCAAAATTTCCTACCAACTGAAAATATTAGGTGTGTCCCGCGCGCTCATATGACCTATGCAGTTGCAAGCGCCGTAAAACACTCTACTATAAAAAAAAAAAACCCCTTTACTGAAGCTTTAAAATTGCAAAAATCTGTAATGTTCCTCTCGTTGTTCAAACACTGTTTCAGTTGCCGCAAGACGCAAGCGACCTTCGACAAATGCGTCAAGGACAACCTGGACCAGGACCGGCCAGAGCTCGGCTTCTTCGGCAAGGTCCGCCTGCACTCCTCCAACCGCCCCAAGCCCACGCCCAGCCCACACATCCTGCCAGAGCGGGCTCCCGACCCGCCAGACTTTTCCAGGAAGACAGACCCGTCGAAGGGCCCCCAGAACTGGTGATGTCAGCGGCAGATGTACCGATGTGTTGTTACCATATATAGTGGTCCCTTGGGGGGGGGGGGGACGGAGGGGGGTATGTTACAGTAAATATGTGTGTGTGTGAGTGTCTAGTGATAGCACTGACAGTACTTATATATAACGCTATGTGCTTTCCAGACTTTGTAACCCGCTGATTTCTCGTGTATGAGAAGGACGTGTTGGAACTGTCTGTAGATTTATTGTTGTGTCTTCGCCAACACTGCGCACGGCACCTAGTTTCCCTGTAGTGGTCAGGGAGGTGTGTGTGGGGGGGGGGGGGGTGTATGTCGCAGTATATATGTGGGGGGGGGGGTGCATGTCACAGTATATGTGATGGGTGCTTAGAAATTTGTTACATCTCAGATTTTACCCCATGGAAATAGATGCGCGAAATTTACAAGTGGAGTTTGTACAATTTACTTGTATGACATGATAAAAGACACATTCAGTTTGAAGAAAATGGCATCAGTAGAGCCTCTACAAATTTGACACCATGTCGATTTCTGTCCGATGTCTCTATTGGTGGATTGCGAGAAGTAACTCAAGTCATCAGCCCGCCTTGTATTTGTGTGTGTCTAGTGACGGAACTGACAGTACAGACATACATAATGTATATTATATAAACGCTATGTGCTGCCCAGTCTTTGTGACCTGCGGGATTCTTGTATATGTGAGAATGACGTATTTGAACAGTCTGTAGTTTTCTTCTTGTGTCTTCGCCAATGCTGCAGTTAGTTTCTCTGTAAGTGTTGCCAGCTGATTGTTTCTGCTGTGCTGTTATATTTGTGTCACGGTTCTACGGTGAAATCAGGCGCTCGTCAATTTATGGGCACATGGAGTTATTGGTATCATTGTAAAGCTTGCTTATTTGTCTTGCTTTTGATGGAAAAAAATACCTATATAAAAATGTATACTTGGAATAAAAGGTGAGAGATACTTTTTTGTGCCTTCGATCAACATGTTTCAGTAAAATCCACACAGAAATGTGTTTTTAATTGAAGATAAAAGATGTTGAGAAGAAAGAAAATAGATAAATATTGCCCAAAGGATGGAAAATCTCGGTTTCTTCGACTGTATTATTTTGTTGAGAGCCTGATCTCGCCACGATGCCACGCCACACATTTCTTACCTGTCAAGTTCACAGGCTGTGTCTGTTGGAGCCATGGGCTTGTGTTTTGTGGCCCAGTGTACAGAGAGGGAGAAAGAATGGAAAGATTGACCGTGGTAGAAGAAGGAGATGGGGAGAGAAATCAATAAACATTGTCTCCAACAACCAGGACATTTGAGTTTGTTTTTTGTTGTTTTTTTCTGTTTGGGTGGAGTGGTTGAGAGATGCATGCGGTGAGGGAAATGTGTCACTGTCTTTATATAATACTAGCTGGGCCCCCTTTCGATGAAAGGAATGATCGGTGCAGATCTAGATTCTAATCTAAGACCTATTAACATTGTTCCCAGTAGCAAGAAAAAGAATTTGACAAAGGAGTCCAGAAAAAGCGATGATGGGCATCAAACGAAAGGATCACAGTCGAGTTTAGCACCAAGAAAAAAAAGAAAACATGAGGCTAGATCCAAGGGTCGCACACTTGAAATAGTGCTCAGTATTGCGCAACAATGCGCGATAGTATTGAACAGAAGTACCACTTAAAATGAACAAACCTGGCAGATTTTCTAAAATTGCAGAGACAGAAGCGTCGGCCTACGAAAGCGATCGGCGAAATAAAGAACTTAAGCTTTTTGCAGCAAAACTGTCTCAAAACTGAAAAAACGAAGGGCGTCATGATTTGGAGAATATTTTAAAGAATCTTTTGGCGAAAATCGCATGTCGATCGATGCTGCCATTAAAAAGCCTTTTGAATAGCAAAATTCGGCCACCACAAATAGATAATGTCCTTGTGTCAATATATATATATGCCTATATATAATGTTCTTGTGTCAATAATATGCCTATATACAATGTCCTTGTGTCAATATATATAATATGCCTACATAATGTCCGTGTGTCAATGTGCCAATATACAGTCAAACCTTGTTGCAAACCAAACCTTCCCCCCCCGGGCGTACTGCAAGCCCCGCTTACCGCCAGGTTTTGCCAATGTACGAAAAGGAACATCTAATATAAACATAGTATTTGTGCCTTTACACTGCCGTCTGCCAACTGTCAGAGTTGTACGGTCACTATCAACCTAATGTATAATTACCCTGCTGTCCCGCTCGTGAACCGGCTGCCAGAGGCACACGTCACACATGACGCACAGCACTCACTCTTTCCCACACATGTCTTTTTGAGTTTGGCCTATATCTAGCATTATTCCCCAATTAGCTCCTGATTTCAGTTAATTATGAAAGTACCTTCATTTTTAGGCTCTGCCAGTATTCTTTTAAGCATTAGAATAAAAATTTTAAGTCGCCGAGAGAATCGTCAATGAAACTGTGCCACTTTGGCCAGTCTGGCCAGTTTGCAAAGTATCTGACAATGAGGCTGTTATATTGTGAGGATTCACAATGTGTTATATGTGAAAGGTCTGAGGCGGCCAGAAAACTATATCGGCTTTTTAAAAATGTATATATCTTAAGGGTCTTAATCTTAGACACATAATACACATAATATAGCCTTGCTTCTGATCCAACAGAAATGTACAATTTGAACCTGTGTTAAAGTTCAGCTGGAGCTGTTCATATTATTGGTTGCTATTCGTTTTTTTCTATACTTGGCAAATGCAATCGCGCTTGGCAGATCTAGAGGGGTCACTGTACCGCCCACTGTTGATATGTCCGTGTGTCAGTATGCTAATGTGTCAATATATTCTGTGTGTCAGTGTGCTAATGTGTTGATATGTCAGTGATATCTCCCTGTGTCGGTATGCCAATGTGTCGATATATGTTCTGTGTGTCGGTATGCCAATGTGTCAGTGATATGTCCGTGTGTCAATATTCCGATAAATCGATATGTCAGTGTGTAAATATGCTGATGTGTGGCTATGAAAGAGGAAGAAATTCGGACAAAGAAAAGAGCCTTGCCAGGTGATAGCACAGACTGCCGTCCCGTATAGCAACAGGGACAAACAGACAGACAGACACATTGACCAGGACGCTTGGCGTCATAGAAAGCCCTGGAACATCTTGCTCTCACTTGAACAATAGAAGGAGAAAGAGGCAGGAGAGGACCTATAATACAGTACCTTCTTTGAAGGATTTGAACCATGAGTGATGGGAAAAGACCAGCTCAGTGGTATCGGAGATCATAGATGTTGAATTCGGAAGTGAGTCCTAGGTCTCCTAACCTGTTCTGTGTTCAGTGCCGTGTGGCTGAATATAGTCATTTGTGCTCTCACTCACTGGTTCACTTATAATATATGTCAATGTGTGTGTATATTTGTTATGTGTGTGTGTGTGTGTGTGTGTAAGACGGAATCGCAAGGGAGCCAGAAAAAAAATTCCGTCAAAGACGGGGGAATTTGGGTGTCAGAGGCCCAGCCGGTGGGATCAAGGGTCACTTGCCCGGTCGGCAAGCATTGGTCAAAACTTCATACCTCTCACTCAAGTGCTGCTAACCTCTCTGATAATGGTGTCTGTCATCTGTTGTTATCAGCATTTGCATTTCATAAGTCCACTGTTTGACCTATTAAAAACAAAAACATTTGAATATCTCCTTTGCTTCCACCCTTAGCTCCGCCCCCATCGGAGGAATTTATTAAAGGGAGAGCGGAGAGATTCCATTTTGACACGTTTCCAATAAGGCAGGTTGGACTGTATATTATAATTCATATGAAATGAAGACACCCAGAATACTTCTCTAAAAGATTGCTCCCTGGATGTGGATGAGTGGGAAAGCCTCTGTCATGGCCGATCACAGTGACATAAAGTCGTGACATGTGGCAGCAAGGATTTCGGCTTTCGAGAAAAACAGAGTCGGTAAAGCTGAGGCATGCATGCAGAGAAGCAAGAATACCACGTCAGTCAAATCCTGGTAGTGACATTGGCCCAACAGACCACAAGTGGAAAACGTGTCTTTAAAAATAAAAAAATAATAAATAATAATAATAATAATAATAATAATAAAGCACCGAAGATTAAAGATGTTACTAGATAGTGACAAACACAGAAAAGAAGAAAGGAGAGATAAGGACCATAGATGTTTGATAAGAAAGAAGGAGCAAGCCACACTAGTGATAATGACAACACGTTTTTCTGATTTGGAATCTCTTTAAATCAACCCTGAAGTAGGCCGCCTACTTGTCACTGATAGAATCATGATGATTTCGTTTCCGTCAAAAAAATACAATATATTTATAACATAATGGCTCCAGTGGTGCGGAAAGTCGGCGTTGAAGCTGTGAATTTGGAGAATGAGACAAAGCTTGTTTCATTACATGCCCTCATGGCTGGGTTGTCAAGCTTTTGACTTGGGAATAAACTCTGTAGCTTTGGGTTTCAGGAAAACTTATTTCGCTTTCACATTCCGATGGAGAAATAGACAGAATCCGTACACGCAAGGGTTCTTTGTGCTCATGTCTCTTAGTTTAGAGATGTGTTTTTTATGACACAAAAAATAGTTAGCTGAGGGTAAGAGTGCAACTAAGAGCATGATTTCTCTCTACGTTTTATTGTAATTCTGTAAAAGAACACGGTAGAAACAAAGGTAACGTTTTCAATATGTTCATGTTCCCTTTAATTAAAAAACATTTTCGCTCAAGTGTTCCGGTTTGTTCCCCTTGACTTGAGTGATCTAGGTCGAGATAACGTACGAGTTCACTGGCCTGACACGGAAGTAGTCAAGGGACATAACCAAAGCGTCCTTGGATTCACGGCAGCGAGATAGGCGACAAAGGGAAAGTAGCGCGAGTTTTACATGACTGGACCTGCCTGCACTCTAAAACTTTGCAATAACTTCTTGGAGAAACGAAATCTGTAAATCAACCTCCGTGTTTCACCAGATCTTATCTTGATAAACTAGGAAAATGGATACTGGAAGGTCAACGGCTTCTCGAAAAGGGGATCCGAGAATCGTCGGCATTGCCAAAGAAGTTTCAGAAAGCCGAGACAGAAAAGTTCCTGCGTTGTTGTTACAGCTAAAACGTAAGTGTGGAACGTTTTCGTCTGCGGCAATTTTTACTTTCCCTCCTGCACATAGATCTAGATTTTTAGATCTACTTCTAGGTGCACTGCTTTTTTGGGTCAAACTGCAGTATTTTTTGCTGCAGATCTCACAAAACAAATGGCCACTAACACGAACGAAAGTGGCTATTCTCACCCGCCCGGAAGTTCTCGCAAGATCAACTCCTCCCCTCTTCTCTCTCTCTCTGTCTCTTTCTGAATACTGTCTATCGGTGTGGACGATCAAATTGACCAAAACAAAATTTTAAAATGATGTTAAAACACAACAGTAAATTAATTTGGTTGTCTACAAAGATGCTACAGCTATTTAACTTTTCGAATCGAGCCGAACTACGCGGGTCGCCATTTTGTTTTGCCCGGAAATTCTCGCGCTACTCCTCTCTCTCTTTCTCTCTCTCTCTCCACTGCCCACAGACAAAATTGTACGCTTTTAGTAGGCTACAGTTGTAATGGAACGTTTGTTCACGGCACAGAATTGTACAATTTTTCTGCTATCACAGTGTAGAATTCTGTGGTTTAGGGTGAACGCAAAATTTGGTGAACGCACACTGGGTGAGAATAGCCACAAGACTCGCCTGCACTATTCTCACTCCGGGTGAGAATAAAGGTGGCCAACACTAACGTGAATTTTTAAAATTTAAATTGCTATGGTTGGAAACACGGAGGAGGGGGGGGGGGTGTTAAACTTCATTATTAAAAAAGGAGCGTACAACCAACAGTTTTATATCTAACATGGGTAGATCTAGATCTATTAGTGTGGATTTCTTAGATAGTTTGTCTTTGTGACAGCTAGTGCTCTCATAAAAGACTTCTGACAACTGACAGTAAGTATCTAGATCTAGATCTAGATCTCTGATCTAGATTTCAAGTCTACTACCTAACATTTACTAACAATCATTGAAGTCCTTTTATTATTTGAAGGGCTGTTAATACAAAGTGCCCTCCTTTTCTGTTTACTTTTTAACCTGAGTAACACCATGTCCATTGGCGGTGGGTAGTGACAGGCTCACGGGCTTGAGCCCCTACCCCCTCCCCACCCACCACCCCCAACTCTATCCCAAAGTAAAGGAAAGTTTCTCCATAATGCAATAAGCTGTTGAAACTGTTATGACCACATGCAGTGAACACAGAGGGATCAACTCGGCGGCTTGCTCGTTTATCCAATCACTGTTGTCACCGCTTACAACTACTATAGTAACCCCGCAGCCAATCAAATGTCTTTAGGGCTCAGCAAGGGATGAGCCCTTTCTCACGGCCCGTCCTTAATGAAACTCTTCTTGTAAAAAGGTAGAAGACTGGGAAAAAATAACACTGTATCGAGGGCTCACACTCTCCTAACCCTGACAATGACAATGGGGTGAAAGTTTACGACACACTTTCCCCCAGTGACACAGATACCTATCCGCTCATTGGTTCTTTGTTGGGTGCATTCAACTTTCTCAACTACACGGCCTAATCCAGCTCATAGAAGTAATTATTATGTTTGAAGTGCTGTGTGTGCATGTTTTTCTTTGTGCTGCTTCGATTTAACAGTTATAAATGAGGCCGAACTACTGTTAAGGCAATTTTTTCATCACATGAAAATTAATTAGAGGAAATTTGGAGGTGAATCGGTTTCGTCCCCACCATCAACAAGAATTAAACTAAGAACAAAGAGATGGAAAACAAAGGTAACTCTTCTCCTTTGAATGGTTCTCTAAATGCCGTGGCTCACCGTGAGTATAGAAAAATCATCACTGTTTAGTTCTTCAAGCTATTTGGTGATAAAGAACTGGAAGCAGCCTAAGCCCCACCCAAATTTTGGTCCACCCACCGCCACTGACCATGTCCTAGCCTCAAGTTATTTACATGTATTTCAAAATTTGGTTTCTAGATCGTCTAATATGTCACAGAATCTGTATGCCAACTGAAAGTTTGACCCATACAGGCTACAATACCTGAGCATGATGAGAAGGGAATGAAAGTAAAATAATATCTTCAGTTAACAGTTGCTTTGATCCCTCACCCACCACTATTTGAGACTGGCTAGACCCGTAACTACAGTCAGCGTTTTTATCTTACAAACTCTTTTCTGTGTACATTTTTTTAAAAGACCTCAACCGCCCAGACATTTTTCAAAGTTTAAATAGAAGCATCAAAGTGTACCTTACTTTTATGAGTTTATAACTGAATTTTTGAAATGCAAAAAAAAAGTTTTAAACTATTTATCATTTATTATAAAATGGTTCCTAAATTTGTTGTTGGCTTATAATTATAATATAGGCCTAACCTGTGGGAAAATGCTGGTTTTTTCTATGGCATTATTTTGACGGGCGCCTGATTTTAACCATATTATAGAATTACAGTCAAACCTGTGTAAGACGGCCACCCATTGTCGAGGAGAAAATTGGCCGTATAAGACAGGTAGCCGTCTTAGGCAGGACTGATAAAAATGAAGAAAATAAACGATTCCCTTCTACTGAGGTCCCAACCGGAGGTGGTCGCAGAAAATTAGAACTGCCATAAGGCTAATAATGGGTTTTTATTTTGTTTTGAAAAGGTGAAGATAATGAGAAGGTTGGCTTGGGGTTTTTTAAAATTCTTTGGTTAGCTTTTTTTTTCTTTTTTTTTGCTGTTGATTTTGTGCAAGGGCTCAATCGAAATGTGCCAAACGCGGAAGACGGAGTGCCATGGTAAAACAAACACATGGGTTGCTACCACTCGGAGTACAAGCAATGCCTCTGTTGCAAGTTTGTCTTGACGTTCATTGTTATGGACTGGGTAAACAGTGACTGCTCCTCTCAATTACGATTTATGTATGAGTTATGAGCGGGGCTTTATAGGTTATGACTGATCACACACTTCCCTTACCAGCAGCTGAACATTCCTCGTTTCTGATTGGTCAATCATTTGTTCAGGACAAGCAGCAGAAATGAACAACTCTGTTTATGTTGATCACTACTACCCCACTTTAACTGCTGTCAAAAATTAGTTGTAACTTTTACCCTAAGTATTATTTGAATCTCATAAAACTTGGTCTCAAATATATGATAAAGCTCTTTCTTTGGTTTTGATTGTCCAGCGATCCTCAATGAGGCGGCAGCAACGTCAGAAGAAGGCATCCGCATGAGACAGGAGCTTTGGCAGTACAACTTGCTCAAGGTCGCGGTGCTGGTGCTGCGACAAGACTACAGCGTGATCCCTGGGGAGTGGGGGGCCGCCGCCGACCTGGCCCTGCTAGTCAGGTGACACGTAGAGCGTGTTTTGTGTGTGTGTGTGTGTACGTTTGTGTGTGTTGTTGTGTGTTTTTGTTTATTTGCGTGTGTTGTAGTTGAAATACCATCTCTTCACAAAGTTCAGGATCAGCAACTCAGCAGAGCAGCGTCAGTGCAGAACTGGCAGCCTAACTAGAAACTATCTGCTAGGACCCTGCCCAATGCTGGAGGCACTGACAAGGAAATATTGACCCAACCCTGGGCAAACAGACCCTACACTCTCAGCTGGAGCCTGGAGGACCTGCAGCAAACAACGACCTTTGCTCTAGAGGATGTGAATATCCATTTAGAGATGAATGGGAACAGAAAGTGTGTCGTAGTGTTACGTGTGTGTATGTGTATGTTTGGTATTGTGATGAAATAATAATAAATAGCATTCGTGTAGCACATCAGCACATTCCCCGCTCCACAGCAAACTCTATGCGTTTTACACTATATTATAACCCCAACAGACCAAAGAACACTTAGAGACATTCTCAGCTTCCCGGGAAGCATACAGTGCATGCAGCTGATGAAGCGCTCAGACACTAGCAAACTGACAAGGTCTTTCACTGTCTATTATAGTCTATAGCTGGGTACTCATTCCCACCTGGGTGAAGTGAGGAAAATTCATGGAAAGTGCCTTTCCTAAGGACAATGTCGGGCCCCTGGCGGGATTCAAACCCACGACCTTACGGTTGCGAGTCTGAGAGCCTAAACTACGAAATCAGGTGCTCATCAAAATAATGAAATTGAAGAAACAGACCGTAATTTTTCCCACCCACTGGGCAAATTTTATCTATTTTATTTTGCTTTTGGCTCAACACCTTTTTTAATGCCCATTTAAACACACATTTCTGTTTTGATTTTAGTGAAAAAACATTGATCAAATGGACAAAAATATAAATCTGCTGTTTCTTAGGAACTCATCAAACTTTGGCTGCCATTTTCTAGCTAATTTTATCTCAATCGCCATGGAACCCCACCTCTTCAATTACAATATCTGGATTTGTGCTATTGATGGATGGGTATCTTTTCACAAGCACAGGCATATACACATATAAAAACACGCACACACATGAATTCACACACAGACCCAAACACACACACACTGTAAAAATACAAGATTAGCTTCTGTACAAACGACTGATAACTTTTGTTGTTATTGTTCTTCTTCTTCTTATATGCGTGTGTGGTGGCGAGCAGCCAAGCGACATGTGGCCTGGCGTGCGTCACGTCGGAGGACCGGCGCCAGCTGGAGGAGGACTTCCTGCCGCGCTGCGTGGAGAACATGTTGCTTTTGTCGCGGCACATCCACGGCATTCTGGCTAGTTTGTCGGCCTCACGGGTCAGTGGGTAACTCTCTGTAGGTCTGTCTCTGTAGAGTAGAGAAACTGTTACGTAAATTATATAACGTTCTGTAGCATTGTGTGTCTGTCTCAGCAGAGAAAGTCTTATATGTAACAGTCTTCTAACAACACACAAGACTGAGACAACATATGTACAAATGTTTTAAACTAGTACAATCACCAAAATGCCAGTGTGGAGAGGCGGACCAAACTGTTGAACACATCCTTCAGCACTGCAAGACACACAGGGCCCTGAGACAGGAAACGTGGCCAAACCCACTGATGCTACAAGAGAAGCTATACGGGCCGACAGATGAACTGAGCAGGATGGCCCATTTATGACAGATAACAGACTTCAAGTGGGATGCGATCGAGAAGAAGAAAGAAGAAGACAGTCTTCTACACTGTTTATCTGTCTCAGTAGAGTAGAGAAAGTCTTACATTTTGTGGGCAGTATTGCCTACAGACTTAAGTCATTTTTGGCGGCCTTTGAGATACGTCTGTATGCAATACTGCCCGCGATATATAACATTCTGCTGAGCCGTATATTTGTCTCAGTACAACAGAGAAAGTCGTACGTGTATAACATTCCACCGCAGTGTATGTCTGTCTCAGTAGAGTAGAGAAAGTCTTACATGTAACATCCTGCTGCGCTGTAGGTCTGTTTCAGTAAAGTAGAGAAAGTCTTAAATATTCTGCTACACTGTATGTCTGTCTCAGTGGTGCAAGTCTTAAATATTCTGCTACACTGTATGTCTGTCTCAGTAGTGCAAGTCTTACATAACTGTCTGTGAATGTACTGGTCATAATGTTCGTTTGGTTTTCAGATCTTTTTAAAAATTTTGCCCTGGGAACAATTTCTCAAAACTAAAGAACAGAGAGTTGTGATGTCAAATTCTGTCATTAGTTGAGAGAACATCTTGCTGCGTTCATGGTTGCAGGTGGTTGGCGGGTGATCTGGTGTGGTTTGCTCCTTCTTTCTATTCAAACATTAATAATTGTTCTTATCTCTCCTCCTTTCCTTTGCAGGTTACTCTCTCTTAACACATCTTTCTTGTCTTTGGCACTTGTAAGAACTGTTTCATGTTGCGTTGCAAATGCCGTAAAACTCTTACTATCTAAAAGCTCTGTTCACGGCTCAAAAAGACACGGAAATGTGGGTGGTTAGTGGGTGATCTGGTGTGGTGTGCTCCTTTTTTCCTATCAAACATCTATGGTCCTTATCTCCCCTCCTTTTTTGTGTTGGTTACTCTCTTGTAACACAGCTATTCTTCGGCACATATATAACCACAGTGTTTTGCAAGTGCCGTAAAACTCTTACTAAAACTTTTTTTAAATCTTCGGTACTTATATGACCTTAATGTGTTGCAAGTGCCGTAAAACTCCTACTAAAACTAAAAAAGACGAAATGTTTCCATTGTTCACAGGAGAGGGACAAAGAAGCTAGTGAGTTGTGCGCCAGCTTCAAGAAAGTTCTGGATGCTCTGGTTCATCTGGCCTCGGGCTACTTCTACATCTGTCCCCAAGGTGAGGGGGGGAGATGATTTGGGGGAGGGGGAGCTGGCAGGGAGGGTGGTGAGGGGGGAGGAAA